AATTCTAACCCGCAAATAGAAATTCAATATTCAGGACTAGTAATGTTAAATAATTCAGAGGGTAAATCATGAATTTTCTTCTAACTTGGTTAAATCTTAGAGACTTAGGGTCTATTTGGCGCAGCTGTGGATTATTTATAATCTGCTGATAAGCAGATTATTCTGATAATCTGATAATCTGTAGATTATCAGAATAATCTGGCTTGCTGTTTGGGCCAGTTTATTGAAGCTAGCTTATTGGTGGTTAAATGACATTACTGCCCCTATGTGATAAAACTGTTTGGGGCAGCTTATTTAGAATAACTTATTCGTAGAAAAGAAACATATGTTGCAGAAACATACGATAATGATAGACAAGTTCTAAAAGATAACATACAGTTCTCACATCTTAACGAGTACCAGTAGAACTAAAAAAGGTACAAATACAAGTACAACAACAAGGAGAAATATTAAAATATTTAACTTCAGACTCTGGCTACATCGGTCTTCAACTGCACAGTCAGCCTGAGAAAACATCGGATTCACATGACTGCTGGCATAATTACTGGCGGTGTAATATGTGGGACTATCAGCCCACCTGAAGAAACCGCGACGAACACCCCTGGCACAACCATAGAACTGCCTCCCAAAGCTATGCTCCTTACGTGACGTTAGCAACGGAGACGGTAGTCCACAATAACACAAAATCTCTCTGTCAATACCTGATATCCTGGAAGTCATGTTTGTTTAACTGCGACAAAAACAAAAGAATCAATGTCCGTTTAAGGTATTTTAAAAGTAACCAAAATTAAATATATATGAATATCAACCTATAACTTTATTAAAGTAAAACTTGGTAGATCAACAGCCACAAATAGCATCTGTAATAGACTCCCTTAAAGCAATCATATCAGTCAAACATTCACCCTCCTGATCTCCAAACTCATTAGAGTCTATATCATTCTCAGGTAATGAACTACCAGCCACAATTTCAGGAGTTTGGTCGAAGACATTCAGTTCGTCGTTGTCAGCCATACTAAAATTTGTATCTAATTGTGAGGCATGTCTTCGGATGAAGTTATGTAGTGCCATTGTTGCAACCACAATATGCACCTGCTTTTGGAAAGGATACGACGGCATATC